TCTTGAAGAACTGAGCCCTTAAACTGTGGGCTCTGAGGCTGTCTCCATGGAGTGTCACAATTAAGTTGAATTGTAGGACACCCTGCTGATGTCCGAACGGCTTGCTGGGGGCATGGGGACCGCGCCCTTACCCACAATGGAACTGGGTACAGAACCCAAAAGGGTAGCACTTGTCAAAATTTTAATGTGCACATAAATTACCGGGAGAACTTTGTTACATTCAGACCCCAATGTGGTAGGACTGGGTAGAGCCCAGATCTCTGCATTTCTGACAAGGCTCTTGAACGATGTGGTGCTGGTCCTAGACCAGGCTGTAAGTGGAGACAAGAGGCTCTCCAAGAGCCAACCTTCCCGACGGGGCTGCTCGTGAGCAGAGATGGGAAACGAGCAAAGCCCGCTTCTCACAGCACAGGAGGCCAGGAGGCTGTGGTACCCATGTGGGGTGAACCTGACAAGGGCGAGGAGAGAGAAACCATGGCCAAGCCCACAATCACCTGTCCTACCAAAACAGGAAGCCAGCTGGGAGTCGGCAGGCAGTGTTCAACCACAGACACTCAGAGGGCATTTATTTGACAATTAATGACAGTGGATTTACAGCTGGCTAAATGAGCTCAACTTGAAAAAGTACCCTAACAAAAATGATTATTGGACTGATGCCTCCTCTAAGGAAGTCTCTGGCAGCCATGCCTGAGGGCTCTGAACTTGGCCCTGAGCTAATTAATGTAAGACAGAGTCAGTTAATGTGCAAGTAACAAAGCCAGAAGGAACAGCTAACACCTGGATCAGTGAAACCAAGCTTTAACATAATGGACACAGCAAAGTGAATTAAAAAAAAGTGTGAGGATAAATGTAAATCTCATTAAAAAAATAAAAAATAAAAAGATTTGCTGTACAAGAACAGAATGGGAAATCCCTGGACCCTCAGTGGTTCATGGACCAGGAGATGGGATGGAGGTGCCAGTGGGTGGCAGTTTGGCCGACTGCACGCTTGCAAGGTGCCAGCCAAAGCAATCCGGGGCACATTCTGGTGGACAGGTTCTTCTATTCTGGCTGCCTTTTTTAATGGAGGCTGATGTAAGAGGAACAGCTGTCCCTCAAAGCAGTGGGCTCCCTGGCCCCACCCAGGGCAGCAGAAGGTGTCCTGTCAGGTTGGGAGTGACCTCTGACCTCTTCCAATGTCTAGATCCTGTGACTCAGGTAACCTTTTGATTGGTTTGGCCAAATGTACTCATCTTTTCTTTATGAGGTCAACGAGTGTACTTTGAAGAGAACCCTGGTGGGTCTACACTGGAGGATTCCGGTGGATGTCCTTCAGCTCCACCTTGGAGCACTGCTGGGGGTGGGAAGCTGAGCAGAGAGCAGGCTTGCTGCAGGGCTTGTCAGTTACTGATCACTACCAGGGGGAGGCCAGTAAACCCACTCAGATGCTTAAAGTAGGCACTCGCTCTTCTTGATCCTTTTAGGCTTTTATTTCAGCCTTTCCTCTCCTTTTGGGGGACCCTGGTTACTGTCCCCCAGCAGCCTGTTGCCAACTATCTGGGTCGACTCTCTGCTGTCACCCTCCAGACTGCCCATGCCACCTACACAATAGTGTCCCTCGGTTCTCTCTGCAGAAAGCACGTTCCCACCAGTGTCCAATGTCTGCTGCCTGCCCACATCCATCGCCCCCTCCACTGCACTCTAGGAAATCAACACTCCTTTCCCATCTACAATACCAAGGGTACTCACGCAACCCAAGTCTGGCCATGGCCTCAGGAAAGGATTCTGGTTGGACCAGCAATCATGCCCGGGCCAGTGAGACACTTCTGGGGTACAGCAGATCTATTCTGCCGGGAGCCACCATATGGAGGGATGGGGTCCTGGCGGCATCATTTGCGTCCTAGACCCGGCCGTGCTGAATGAAACCTGAATTGCTCAGTTATGTGAGCTGACTCGTTTCCATTTTTTGCTTAAGTCAGAGTTTTACTTCTGTCACTTGCCACCAAGAGTCTAATACATGACCTAAATCACAACTAAGAAATGAACGCATTCTAAAATGCTGTCGGCAGGTAGGGATGTCCTAACCATCACAGGAGCACGTGAATGGAAACACCCTGACCTGAAGAGGACACCTCCTGTGACTGACTCTCAGAATCACTGAAAGCCTATGGGGAGATCGTGTCAGGCAGGGGCTGGCCTAGGACCTTGTGGGGACAACTGCTCACCCATCCCCATGTACGTCAGCTCTGAGGCTGGCACCTGTGGGCATGGCAACTCTACCTGTCTGGTAAGGCTGCCTCCAAGGTTCATGGTGCCAGAGCCGGATTTGTTGGTTTGCAGCCACAGCATCACCGTGGAGGTCAGCTTGTAATGGGCGGTGCGGCCACTGGACTTCTCCTGGGGGACAAGACAGAGATCAGAACCTTGCGCACAACCCCCGGCCGAGGAGTCTGTGGTGGCTCCTGAACTCAGGGTCACCTTAACATGCCCCTTCCTAAGACACTACCACCACACTACCTTTCCCAATCCCAAGTGGCTTTTAAGGGACCGAATCTGTACTCGTGTATATTCAGTTCTTCTGGGATCTTTACCATCAATGACTACTGCAATCTTGACTAATCTTTATCCAAATGGCTTCGGGCACTTTTAGGAATTAACGGGTTTAGGTATCACAGTACCCCTCTTCAAGAAGCGTCTGCTAGAGAACGGGGCTGCGCTGCTGGGCGTGGCATCTGTCTGCAAGGCCCTGGGCCACCAGCTGCCGGGAGAGCTGTACCTGCACTTCCACCACGTGGATGGAATCCCAGCAGCCTTTGATCTTCTTTGATCCGTCTCCAGCCTTCTTTATGAGGATCACTCCAGCAAAGCCATGATCCAGATCCCAGAGGTAGACAGATGAGACGCCGCCTTCAAAATACCTGCAGGAAACAGGCCCATGTGCCCATTAGATGCTAGCTTGTCAAATTACAGACCATCAGCCCAGGTCCCAGGGGTGTCATTCGGAAAGGTTTGCCTGTGTCTGTCTGGAATTAAGGACCCTCCCTGCAATGGTTCTAGGGCTGATTCGTGTATGTGTCCTGAACATCCACTGGTCGGGGGTGGGGGTAAAGCATCCTTTGGGGGGTCACAGAAAGAACACGGCTTAGGAGTCCTCAAGATGAATCTGAGCCTGAGCTCTCCCATGGACTCCAGCTTTGTGGTCTTTGTCAAGTTTTCCAAACTTCTCCGAGCTTCGGATTCCTCCAGATAAAGGGTCCAGCCAAGTGTGTGACGTGACCATCAGCGGGTCATTACTACTGAGTCATCACCACTGTCCGATATTCCTATCTTTAGTGATGGCTTCTTTATAGGGGAGATTAAGAGGAAAAAAAATAGAGCAACAAATGCTTCCTCACCAAGAACCCCCCCGAGCCTAGGCCCACCAGGGCCTCTATGGTCTTTCAGAACAACGTGCTGCAACTCGCTAACCAGGAATGAAGGGCTAAGCATGGGACGGAGCTCCCTCCTCAGGCCCGAGCCAATATGGAAAACTTCCTAATTAAGAGCAAATGCACAAGGGAAAGAAAAGGCCAGAGGAGAAAAGGAAACCAGGTTAGACCGCAGTCAGCGCTGGGACGGAGTCAGGCTGCTGTGAGTACGGACCGAGGAGTTCAGAAAGCACGGGTGGATAGATCACTGCTGATGTGCAGCGCCCCAAATTCTACTGAATCTCGTCTGGTGGCTAGCACGTTCTTTACCAGAAAGTCTGTGGCCTCTCTGACCCGTTAACCCCCGTTCAATGGTGTGGCAGGCAGATTCTGGGCCCCAGCAGGACTGCAACCTCAGACGTAAGCAGACCTCAGATGTGAGCAGACCTCAGACGTGAGCAGACCTCAGATGTGAGCAGACCTCAGATGTGCACAGCGAGCAGGCAGTGTGGCTGCAGTGAGCGTGGGCCCGGGTCAGACAGGCGTGGGTCCCAGCCCCAGCCCCTCCAGTTACCAGCTCCGTTTATGCCCTTATCCACCCAAAAATTACTTATTAGGGGCTACCAGGCACCCACTGTATGAACTGGGCCTTACGACTGCTGAGAGACAAAAACAATATAGGAAAGTAGATACCTGACCAAAGATTACTATTAATTTTAATAATAAAAACAAGTACTAAGAGTAAACACGTCTGTGAATGTTAATACTTAGAGAGTGAAGAAAAGGCAAATTCTTCGTTACTTTTTGTGCAGAGGTCAGTATGTGACATACAGCAGAGTGTGACTGGGGGACACTGAGACCAAGGAAGTAGCCCCACTCACGGAAGACAGCCTCCAGCCTGAGCTGTAGGGGCGGGGGCTCAGTGTAACCTCTTGCTCTAACTGCGCCCAGGGGTCCTCCCCGCCAGGATTCCTCAGGCAGACTGGGGCCCACCTGCTGCTGCCGCCACCACCACATCCTGTCCCCACTGCTCCATCCCCGCACCATCCACTGTGATTAAGCTGTCAAATGAAATTCACAACTCTGCCACTCCCAGCAAGTCACGGGAGGCAGGTGAGGGCAGGCCTGCTAGGGCTCGAGATGCCAGCCCCAGGCTACATGTCAGTCAAACAATGGAAGGCGGGAAGGGGTTTGACTCCAGAAAGGGGCAAGTGTAGTACTATGAGGGGAACAAACAGACACACCTGTGGGGGCCCAGAGCTCAGTACCATCCCAGGTGACCTCAGGGACCCCACTTAGGAAGGTTATTTCTCTTGTTCCAATTCTCTTTTCAAACCATCCCCCCCCCACACACACACCACACACAACACCCTCCTTCCCTCCCTCCCTCCCTCCCTAGGATGGGAGGGAGGGGAAGCAGACAAGTGCTCTGGTCTAGGACCAGCTCTGCAGGGAGCTGCACGCACAGGGACATGTGGAGATGTCTCTGTCAGGTCTTAGCTGGAGTCCACGTGCTCAGGTGAGCTTGCAGCAGGGCCTCCGGGAGCCTTTCCGGCTTGTTCTCCTGGATTTTGGTGGCTCCCTTGGCTCATAGTTCACTGGGAGGCACCCCGTCTACTGAAGAAGAGGAGCAGCCCACCACAGACCTGTGAACACCCCTCCTATTGGTGACAGACGGATGGGTTCTCCCACCCAGTTTTCCCTTTTCGTCTGCTTGCAGCGAGAGCAGCCCCACATCAAAAGGAAAAACCAACAACTCGAAAAAACTGTGGCTTTTCCTGTGCTGGCAAAAATGACAGGCCGATAATTCCTTCTTTCCGTTGGCCATCCTGGAATGAAGGCTTGAAGCCCAGTGGGCATTTCCATCCATCCTTCCGCCCCCTCACAGCTCACGGCCCCATCCTCTGCACCTCCCCAACCAGAGACTGGTGTTGTTCTTGTCAAAGGCTCATGCCCTGAGTGCTGGGAGACCGGGGAGAGCGGGTCAAGCCGTCCTAGAGGGAACCAGGGGAGATCGTGGTGGCTTGATAGCCCTGGTCGACACCACCTGGTGACCAGCTCAAATGCGCCAGGTGGCCTACAGTTGACCCCACTCGCTCTCATCCCTTAGATTTGTTTTCTTCTAGAAAAATAAAACAGCAGCGTGAATGTTTTATAAGGTGGAACTGGCTGTTTCCAGTCCAACGTCCCTCCCATGGCCCAGCTCCCACGCTGGGCAGCCTCTTCTTGGCTTGCTCAGCTCCACGCTGACCAGGCCAAACATTTCAAAGTGCTGGACACAAAGGAGGTAAAAATGCAACCTCAATTCTGACCTCCATGTGGGTTACTGCTCCCCCAAAGTAAAAAAAAATTTATTGCAACATTATAAAAAAAGGAAATTTAAAAATTAGCCCACAGTGCCATATATCAACTTATCCCATAAATCTGATTTTTCCAAATTCCCTTCCAGTCTTTGTCCAGATGCGTAATTTTTATGTAACTATAAAAGCCCTGCAATGGTGCTGCATTGAGTTGGGTTTTCCTCACTTGGCATGGAACCCTTAGTGCTTCTCCATGGAGCCACATGATCTCCGTAATTGTTTTTAAGAGCTGGGATAGTATTCCACTGGGCAGTATCCTAATTTACAGTCCATTTGACTTTTAATACAGAAATGACGCTCGGATCTCACGGTGACTGCCCCCTCTTCCCATCGGGCGCTCCCCGTCGAGGCGGACGTGCTAAAATCCGGCCTCCGCAGGTATGGCCCCAACACAATTCAAGAACGGACTTGCATTCCACCCACCAAAAGGGATCTGCAGGGATGTGAGCGGCTGGGAGCGGCAAGTCTCAACCCGAGGCTCCAGGACAGAGAGCGCAGGGGCTGGTGAAGGAAGGGCCGGTTCGGAGCCGCCCAGAAAGACCTGCCTCTCCGACAAGTGCTGTCAGGACCGCTGTGCAGTCAGTGGCGAGGCGACTGCGGGGCACACAGACAGCCCCTCATTACATGGTTATGGCTTTGCTCTGCGCGTGAAGCATTAATTAAAGAGGGACCTCAACAAGTTTTTGAAAATTTATTCTTACCTGCCGTACTTTGATCATAATGACATGAAACAGGAAAAAAATTTTTTTATGTGGTTCACATTTACGAGTTTTTACATAAAGGCTTTTGTGGGTATTTTAAGAATGTGCTAAAATGTTGTCTGAAACCACATAAAGCCATCTGAGGAGTCGCCCGCCAGAACTAACAGCACACACATGGAAGCACTTTAACTGGCCTTTGTATATTTAATGAGTCAAATAGTATTAATATTGTTTAAATGCTAACATGCTATTTCAATAAGGTGGCTCTACCATCGCCAGCACTCGCTCTTAGGCCTCGCACGTCAACGTGAATGAATGATCACATGTGGCCCGGCATGAGAGCAGCTACAGAGGAATTAACCCGGCCCTGCCCTGGCTCCACCCAGCTCTCCAGGAGGGCGGGGGGCAATATGCAATCCACACACGCGGTAAAGAGGGTGAGTGACCAATAGCTGGACAACACAGAGACAGCCTTCGGGGACACTGTGGAGAAGCCACCTTGTAAAGTCTTAAACCATGAAAGCTCCAGGAACATCAGGAGTGGGGAGATGACAGGTCACTCCAGGAGCAACCGGGGTAAAACTGTGCTGGACTCTGGCAGAAAGAATTTCAACCGAGTGACACTGGTTCTACACACAATCTTGGTGGCTTTCTCGGCTTTCTCTGTAAACATTAACATTGGTGTTGTTCTTGTCAAAGGCTCATGCCCTGAGTGCTGGGAGACCGGGGAGAGCGGGTCAGGCAGATGGAACTGCAGGGAATTCAACAGTTGGGACTAAGGAGATGGGGCCACTCAGGTTGGTTCTATGAGTCCCGCCATTTGAAAAACAGTATGTCCATGACAACAGGCAGATATAGGTTTCATAAGCTACAAAAGATCAGTCGCAAGGGGACACCTGTGTGCTGGATGAGCCAGGGGCAAAAGGCAAGGGCAAGACCCTCAGGTGGGGCTGACGATTTATCAGCACAATCACAATTAAGCATCTGGTTGAGTTTATTCTCTGTCATCAGCCAGATCCCTAAACTTGGACCAACTACAAGCCTAATGTGTCAGTAATTCTCAGAGTTCTATGTCGTCTCTCCCTGAAAATCACTCTTCCACTTGAATAAAGGCGCAGTCACATGTACAGAGTCTACGTCCATAACTCTTCAACCACAGGACTTCTGGGGGGGAGGAAAAAAAGGGGAAAACATAGTACTTCGCACTCAAAATGACCTACTTCACAAAATAAAAAATAAAATAAAAGATTTCGGTTCCCAAAGCTTTATGGAGTGCTTGAAGCTGAGGAATGCGGAGACCTAGGATGGAAACTTGTTTCGGGAATCTGAGCTGTGGCTCTGAATTAGCCAATTCTGTCTTGGCCAACACTGGGCTGTAAATGGAACAGGAAAGATGGGCTGGAATGGACTTTGAAGTTGGCCGTTGGTCCCTCTTTTCAAATCGTCTCCT